TACCTCCTGAGACTCAGCCACCCAAAGTAGAGCACTGGAAGAAAAAATGAATCACTGATCTATACTGTAAAATGCAAGTTAGCCAGTCCAAACTTTCAAAGTTGTTCCCTGCTTTTTTTGTCACGCCAAACAATCTAAAGCAGCACTACATGCCAGAGAAAAAATATGGACATTCAGTTTGGGCTGAACTGTCCCTTTAAAAAATGTCCTTGCAGCCTAAGGGAATGCAGAAAGTATTTTCAAAGACGCTGCTGTCCTAGAAGTCATTTTGCTCGGATGTTGATTCTGTCAGTGTCATTTTGAAGTTGACAAGTTTAGTGTTGGGTGGAAATTTTAATGGAACAGAAAAAACAATGTAGGTGTTGTTTCGGGGCTGCCATACCGATGTGAAATTACCCATGGACTAATGCATGATCAGACCAGAGGCACTTGTGTTTAAGTGGATGCTGCCTGTAAGCTGTAGCCATGGAGACAACAGCTTTAACTGCAACCGGCCAAGGATAGATAATTTGACAGATTTTATGGTCTCCCACCTGGCTTTAAATATTTCACATGCGATTATTTGCATTAAGTTCACTTCATTTATTCCCGTAGTTAATTTAAAAGAAAAAAAAAAGGGAAAAAAAGACACTAACACTGTGGATTCCTGGAAGAAGATAACAACACTACCGACTGAGTGAAATGCAGCAAGAGAGGCAGAACAACACTTACTGTGTCCAACTACTGTGCTAGCCTAGTTTGGCTGTAGACGGAGAGAAATGCTTTCAACAGAGGGGGGGCTCTGCAAAGTCCACGGGTCTGTGGAGATTTGCTTACAGTGATGAGATGGTGGAGGTAAGATGGCTCAGAGGATTCAAGCTCCGCTGAACGCAAGCTTATGTCTAATAATCAGCAGGGAAGGACTCAGCGTGGTCCCTCAGAAAAGGAGACTGCGTGAATGCAACAGAGAGGGAGGAAAACCAGAGCAGGGGATGGATTGAAGCAAGCAAAAAAAAACAAGTTGTTAGCGAGGAGAAAAAGGAGCGAGAAATACATGTCCCCATGGCTACGTTATTTCTCCCCTGCGATGGCTTTTATGTGTTGGAGAAGAGTTTTGATAACATTTTGCTGCCTTGCATATTTTTGTCCATAATAGCTTTGAAAGTCGTGTAGGAATATTGGAAGGAAAAATGAATCGCTGACCTATGAAATGAGACCTAGCCGGTCCAAACTTACGAAGGTGTTCTTTGTTTTTTTCTTTTCCTTGTTGTTTGTGCGGATGGCATTTGGAGCGGTTCTGTGGGATGGATTTTGCCGTTAAAAACATCACGGCGCCGCAGACTGATGAAACTCACCACTGACGCTTGAGTGCATTTTGCCAGCTGTTCCAGATTACAGAGTACAGTCATTTATCGCACTAACTGGCACCAGCATAGCATCCTTGTCCATTAACACAGACTGAACTCTCACACATGCCCGTAGCTGCCGCATAATACATCACAGTGATCCAAAGTACAACCACGTCATGCTACTCTCTCCACTGATGCAGGATTTGCTCATTAGTATCAGCACGTTATCCATATTGTTATTGTCAAAACAATGTTTAAACTTGTCTGAGCCTGTGGGTGTGTTTTAGTGTGTGTGGCTCTCCAACCGATGCGATGGTCATCATTGGCCCCAAGGTCAAGCTCTTTCTTTCTTATCATCAGTGAATTATCTCCACAAGCCACTCAACCAATACGGGGCCTGAACTACACGCCTGTTTAACGGGAGTCTAGCGAGGATGAAGTGTAGGGGGGGGGGCAACGCGGTCGAGGTCAGAAAACCACAGCGCAGAGGCGGCTGCGGGGCGACACAACAGCATTTTAGCAGGGGCCCAATGAGTGATTACCTTGCAGCTCCAGTCATAATTCAGCGTGACCTCAATCTGCCAGCAATGCTATAGTTTGATGGATCTGCTCACAGTTTGGGTGTCGGGTCCTCGCATGTCAAACACAGGCAGATAATAATCAGGCTATCTGTTGCTTTTACAAAATAAAACTTGGTGGATATTAATGCTGCGCGTGCGTTCGTGCACTTTCTGTTTAATTCACCCGGATGGCGCGTAAGGAATCACTGCCTCCGCAGGTGTCAGAGTAGATACTAGAGACAAAACGGTGTCACAAATGGTTAATTCCCATCATGATGATGCCTGTCAACGGTTGCTCTATCCATCGACAGGCCCATCTCTTTGCTTTATCAATCAAAGTCAGCAAAAACATGCGTGGATGCACGTACACACACATGCAAACGCACAAGTGTGCTCTCACATATGCAGACATCCTCGTCCCAGTGTGGATAATTAGTGGATTCCCTCAGTGGGTGATAAAGCCTGTGCACTTCTCTCCTCTCTCTTTGACCTTCCCCAGTGAGCTTCCGACCACAGTGGGGCTCATCACACACAGCTCTAATACATATTTATCGGCCCAGTGACAGCTCTTGAGTGCTGGATTTATATGTTTCCTGACAAAACAATAGTAAAACCTTGTTCATTCGTCCTTCTTTTCATCAACCAAAGCAGGAGATAAATCCAGGAGTGTCAACCTGGCTGTAGCTTCCTCAGCAGCTGGCCATCTGTTGGTTGGTTGGGGTGTATCTGGACATGGGACCCAGCCAAGGTACACTCAAGCAGCTCTCTCCAATTACTGCAAACGGATTTGATATACGTATGTCTGTCAAATCGCCTTGGCAATCACAGGAACCTGTGCGCTGGCAAACGTTTTCCTACAGCAACTTCTGATCAAAGACATTCAAAAAGTGGCTGTGGTATGGCTGGCGGCATTGGGATTCAGGACAGACTTCCTGCACCATGACTGGCTCTATTTGAACAGCGCAATCAGAGTTGAGATGTGAAGAGAGGCAATACCACTAAAGAGTGAGGGGAGGGGAAGGCGAGTGGAGAGGAGAGGAGGAGGAAGAAGAGGAGGGAGGGATGGCAGGATTAAGCCCCAGCCCACCCCCTACCCTCTCTCAGCCTCCAAGCGGCCATCTTTCATCTTGCGACTGCCCCTCTAATGCTTTCAAGTGGGCGAAGCCCTCGACATCTGCTTCCGCTCCGTGGGACACAGCACAGGCCACCGTCCTGCGGAGATGCACAACCACAGCTCAGTTCAAGGGGCACTGTGAGGCCAGCGCCACTGAAGGCGGAAGGTCTTATCCACGTAGACAGAAAAACAAAGACATCAAAAATGACAGTGTGGCACGGGGGATTAAGTCAAAAACTTATATTCAGACAAGTAGAAAAATAGAATAGATCAGCTCTTGAAATAAACATTAAAATGCATCATATACTAGTGAACAGACTCACAACAGAAACGCTTTACAGTTCACTCACCCAGACACATTAATTCTACTTACTACTTGAGAACAAATAAATGTAAATAGCTCTGTAAATAAACACTCCGTCTTCGCCAAGAAGAAATAAACCCCCTGCCGCCTCTGATTAAGACTACCAAAGTGATATATCTGGCACTTAAGTCTGCTGTTTACCTCATAAACACAAAGATTTCAGCACAGCCACCCACACTGACGCTGAAAAATCACAAACTGAGTCTGCGTGCCTGTATGTTTCTCTGCTAGTCTTTTTGGCTTCAGTGTGGGATGTCTAATGACATTTTTTTTAATGCATGCCATTTCAGGAGTATTTCTTCTGCTGTGGCTTTCAATATCATGAGTTCACTGGAATTCCTTGACTCCGGCAATGATAGCGCCGTGAGCAATAAAGCGGCATGGTCAAGTGGTAGGAGCTTTGCCTCTGATTTTCTCTGAGATCAGTAAAATAGCACTTGTGATTTTCGAAAACCATATCTGGAGTGCAGATGAGTGGTGCTGTCGAGGACAGGGCGCTGCCGGTGATATGAGGGAGGCCTAACTGACACTAGGTGTGTGGAGGGGGGTGCATGTCGTTTTACCTTCACTCTTCTCAAATTTTCCAATTATTTCTAAGGAAATTATGTTTGTTGTTTTGGATTTGTTCCTTGATGAACAGTCATTTCAGATTTCCTTCATACATCAGTGCAGCTAAAATGTAATTTAATTTGCAAGAGCTCCCCGTGAGACTGTAAATGCGTTCGCCTTGATTTCTGAACCACCTCCACCCCCTTTTCAAAACCCACACACAAGAAACAAACTTCCATGTAGATTCGTATAATGCGTGATCTGTTGACTCTTGTTTCAACATGTGTCTATTTCTGCAGCGCACAAGCAGGCGAGACCTTTTCTGTGCAGTCTGGTCTTCTTTCATTGCTTGCCACCGCAGTGTGTTCTAGTGCCAGTTTAAAAATTTGCAGCTACTTCTGCAAATGCAGTGAGCTGGAGTCAGGGTTTTTTTTTATTATTATTATTTATAGAAATCCACCCACCCACTATGTTGAATTTAGTGGTCTTCCACATGGAAAAAATGTGAAAGACTTCAATTTTGCTATGTGAAAAAAACTGACATATAACTGATGCAGGGGTGCTATGCATATATAATGAGCGCAAAAAGTCTGTGTGTAATTGCTTCACCCAGTTTAAGCTACCTTGAAAAGAACATTATCACAAGGAGGGGATGGGAAACAGGGTTCATATATTCTTAAATCAAACTGTGGTGCATGTGCAGGAGGGAAGGCGTTAATATATTTTACGGTATAGACTTGTTTGCCAGCTTTGATTCATTTTCCGAGAGGGCACGTAGAGATGGATAGGGGAAGAGAGGATGACAGACAGAGCGCTGATTCTTTCCCATGTCTGCGAGCTGTCGGCGAGACCAGGCCATCTGCACATTCATTATCACGGCAGTGATTCCATTATTGTTCTGCATGGCAACAAGGACTTTTTCTGTCTGGCCTTTGTTATTCTTATCAACTGTGTAGCAGACAGCCCCCTTTTGATCATGGCAGCAACGAAATTAACTGCTATCATGTAGTATAGTGCATAACTGAATTATCCTTCAGAATAACGACACTAAACATCATCTTGTCTCTTCTTGTGTCCTTGTGCAGGTCTGTTCCACAGAGCCATCATTCAGAGCGGCTCAGCCCTCTCCAGCTGGGCAGTGAACTATCAGCCGGTCAAGTATACGCGTCTCCTGGCAGAGAAGGTGGGCTGTAATGTGCTGGACACATCAGACATGGTGGACTGTCTGAGGAAGAAGAGCTCCAGGGAGCTGGTGGAGCAGGACATACAGCCTGCAAGGTACCACGTGGCCTTTGGACCTGTAATTGATGGTGATGTTATTCCCGACGACCCTGAGATCCTAATGGAGCAAGGAGAGTTTCTCAACTATGATATTATGCTGGGGGTCAACCAGGGTGAAGGGCTCCGGTTTGTGGAGAACGTGGTGGATTCAGAGGACGGCGTATCTGGAAATGACTTTGATTTTTCTGTGTCCGATTTTGTGGACAGTCTTTACGGGTACCCGGAAGGCAAGGACACACTTAGGGAAACCATTAAGTTCATGTATACAGACTGGGCAGACAGGGACAATCCTGAGACCAGACGAAAAACGCTGGTGGCTTTATTTACTGACCACCAGTGGGTCGAGCCGTCGGTGGTTACGGCTGATCTCCACGCTCGCTATGGCTCGCCCACCTACTTCTACGCCTTTTACCATCACTGCCAGAGCTTGATGAAGCCCGCCTGGTCTGATGCCGCCCATGGCGATGAGGTGCCCTATGTTTTTGGAATTCCTATGATTGGTCCCACTGACCTTTTTCCCTGCAACTTCTCCAAGAACGATGTCATGCTGAGTGCTGTGGTCATGACCTACTGGACCAACTTTGCCAAGACTGGGTGAGCACTTTTTTGTTTTCCATCAGAGGGAAGCTACCATTGCCATTTAAATTACAAACGTATTCATAATGGTAGCAGCTTGATATTGATGTATGCCTATGTGCTCAAGTAGTCAATTTCCTGTTTGCTCATTTTCTACTCAGCAAAAGCACACTGTAAAGATAAAAGGATCAGTCATTTAATCAATTAGCTGTTATTTAAGTTATTTTCAGTTATTTTAATTGTTAAGCCTTTTTTTGTAAGAAAACAATGCAAAACACTTGTTGGATCAAGACGTGAATATGTTTTCTTTTGTATTGCTGTGACTGTTTGCTGGATAAAGCAGGACATTTAAATCGTACAAATATATTAGTAATTGATCAAGAATATGTTGCAGTCCTAGTATACAGTAACTTACATTTTTACCTGAAGCTTTACTCTCTAAAATTGATGACTGAGGTTTTACCCCGAGGGTTACAGAGTGTTATCTTAACTTAAGGCCAGCTCAGTAAGATGTTCTGGGCGAACCGATGGAGCGATGGATGCATGCATGGATGCTGTTGATAGTTTATGTGTGGTTTTCTTGTGCTCGCTCTTCCTCCGGTAGCTTATTTCCACCACTCCATAGACTGTCTTAAAAGCATAAACTCACCAGCACAATCTGTAGTAGTTGTGCAGTGGTAAGAAACCATAAGGAACATGAACAGATAGCTACAAATGCAGAAGCTCATTTAACAGTGGGTAGACTGGATATATTAATCTCTGATCTCAGATCAGGCAGGTGTTTGTGTTGTGTTTCCTCCTGCAGAAACACAGTGCTTCTCCACATTCCCCCTGGTTTGTGTTTTCTAACAACTGTACTTTTACATTTGTTAAACTAGTGCGCATGCAATTATGAACTTGCTAAGTTATTAATAGAAGGTTACAGATTTAAAAAAAAAAAATCCTATTTCAGTTCTATTAATAGGACTTCTGTGCCGCAAAAAATGAGCTGCAGGAGAAAGGAAGCTCTACAATAGATTGTATAGGACAGAAAAGGCATTTTTCAAGAGAGACGTTTTTTCTGAGGTATTTTTTGCCCCGACTTCCTGGGTCTCAGTCTGAAAACCTGAGACATATTGAATGTGAGGAAGATTAAATGTTCCTGCAGAATGTGTGCTGTGCTATTCGTGCTTGGCTGCCTGTTTGGGTGCATGGCTGCCTGCCCTTCTGTATACTTGCGTCCATATGTGTGTGTACTGTGGCTGCGTGTGTGCGTGTTTGGCTGGAAATACTATCTATGCTCTATTATACCAGGGACCAAAAGACACAAAGACTTATCAGGGAGGCATATCAAACTCTTGCCCTCAGCGGTATTGATTCCCTAAGCCTGGGCCCAGTCAATCACTCGTGCCCTGGGTGTCTCTTGCTCCCCACTATGCTCAATTTCCCCACCACCCATCACAAAACCGGACCATTTTGTATGACTACTAGTAATCATTTCTAACAACTTAAATTTAATTTGACAATCCCTGTTCCTAGAGGGGTATTGATCCCATCCTGAATGGGATGCCATCAGAAATCTTGTTCTGTTTTTTTTATCTGTCTCTACATCATCTGCCGTCCAATCAGGTGGCATTTACATCCAATCGTCTGGCTGATAGGACCTTGAGCTGCTAATGGCTGACTAGTGCAGATGGACTGATGTCGGAAAGCACTGAAGTCCATCAGTGATGCCCGGACAGCTGTCTCCTCTGCCTGGCAGCCATTTTGTGTCAACACACACAAAGCTGCATTTGTAGATGCGCGCAGATTGATTTTCGTTTTTCTTTTTCTTTTTTTTTTTAACTTGTCATTTCAAGAAAGTGATCTGGTCTCATGAGAGGAGACAATGTGTTTAATCTAAATGACAAACAGAAGTTTGAGGTCTCGAGTTAACAATGCATGGTGCTTATGTCTCTGATCTTGGATCTTGTGATGTCACCGAAATTAATTCTGATGAAGGATGACAGCATGTCTGCCATGCCTATATCCAGTCAGACTCAACACAGCGCTGTGGGCAGTGAGCCTGCTGTAACCCTAACCTAGCCTTCACCCTGGCATGCGCCAAGAGTAGAAAAAGCAAACTGCACTTTACAACTGACCCCATGTCAGTTTTGTAGATTTCCATGTCACTGATTGATTGAGATTAGGGGCAGAGCAGCGAGAGGATAAACTGGTTCTAGATCTGTGTTCACCATGTTATGGGTATCTGTCCTGTGGTGTGTCGCCTTGGCCTGTCTCCAGATAGAAAGATTACAGGCAAACCACAATTAGGCACTCAGATGGTAAAGAGCCCAGGATTAGATGCCAGCAGAATAAAAACTCACCGTGCTGCTTTAAAGGGTAATTTTACCCAGGCCTATGTAAAGGAATCTACCATAAACTCTTAAAGGAGGGGGGAATTGAGGATTTAAGATATTTCCCACAGACTCTGAAGTTCGTGCCTCTCATTTAGACCACGTGAGGGGATATCACTCTCTTCTAACACCACCCAACGCAATCTGGCTCAGGAGGACGTATTTTTAATTAAGACCCAACTGAATTGGCTTCGCCTTCATGGCTCGTCCAACAGCCATCTCGCCTGTATCTGCAGAGTAGCTCTCGCTCCCCTTCCAGATGTTCATAATGAACTGACCCAGATTGCACTTCCTGCCCCTGTCTCTAAATCGGCTGTAAGAACATGTGTGACACGATGTCGAAACACTTGGGCTGCATGTCAACAGTGGGTATCATAGCAGCATTCCCCCCAAAGCTCTTCCTGTCCCTGGCTCTCTTGTGTCATCTTTACAGGGCAAATCCCTTCCCATGCCCTTTTTTTTTTCCTCCATCAGCATCAGTGAAGCATAAAAGCATACAGAGTGCACACTGTCAAATCTTCTTAGTGTGTGTGCGCACATGTGTGCGGGTGTGATTGTGAGAGCTAGAGTGTGCGTTTACACTATGGGGCCGTTCTTTCCCAAGAGTCAGAGATGTTTCCGAAGCGCAGGGATTTGCTCAGCTCTGAGGTTTTTTTTCTGGCTGCAACATTTGTTTTACTATTGACAAGCAAAAATTGGCCTGGGCTTTGTTGCCACAACAACTTCATCTGAACTGTATTGTCAAAACTTTGGTTTTCTTTTTTTTTTCGCGCACAAGTCTACTGCGACTGATGTGAGCACAGCAGCGACACAACTTTACACAAAAGAAAGAAAGAAAGAAAGAAAGAAAGAAACTTTGGCAGAAGTCTTCAGAAAAAGACAGGATGATGAAAGGCCTGGAAAAGATCAATCATTATATATCATTAGTGCTAGAAATTTGTTGGTCCATCTTTATACTTGTTTTTATCCTGCTGACTTGTGCTCATTTCCCCAGTTCTGTGTCTGAGCTCTGCCACATGCAGTGCTGGGTATAGCTAGGTAGTTAGAGAGCAGAGCGCTGTCACGTGTTGTTGTTTTTTTTTTAAATTCTCCTCCACAGATCCCCCATTCCTCTCTCACTCTCTCTCTCATTATTCTATACAGTCATGTATTACGATCACAGTGTGAGCTAAAATATGCACCATTGATTGGTTTGGTGACAAAGTCTGCCAACTAAACAAATGTAGACAGAAGTAACTACACTGTGTCTGTGGTACAGTGTTACAGCCAGCACTCTGATTTACAACACTGCTGGTTGATTTTTCTTTTGTTTTCCTCCTACTTGTCAATCGAACACTCCTCTTCTGTAGGATTAACAACACACATACATCAGCTGTTTCTCCTGTCTGACCTCATTCACGCAAAGCTTCAGCCTTTTTTTCCTTTTTTTTTACCCCAGCTGTCTAGTAGTTACATCATTCAACTCTGATCTCCCTCTTTGTCCTTCGTCTGGATTATCCCTGGTTCTCTTCAGTTTCCTTCGTTAGGCCCAACCGACTAAACCTGCACCGGGAGTACTGAATGCTTGGCATTGTCGAAAAGCTCAGCCCCCAACAGCAACCTACCTACTCCATTAAATAGGCACTCACTTGATAGGAGATTTGTAGCCAATATCCTGATTTGCATTAGAGAAGGTAAGGAAGTGGTGTGGCTTGTTAAGGGGCCGGGATGCCATTGATCGGTGTCCATGCTGTGCAGTGAATGTAATGAGAGGAGGGCCGCAGGGGAGGAGAAGAGGAAGTAGATCTGCATGTATGCGTCTGCGAATAAGTGGTTGTCAGGTTAAAACATGAATAATATTCTTAAACCTATTCATGTAAAATGATCTTCAGACGTGGCTTAAAGCTCCCGATTGTTCAAAAAAAAAAGGACAAAGTGAAAGTAGGGAAAGTTTTGTGAGAGCCAGGGGAAGCGTTTTTTTTTTTTCTTCGCTGCAACTCATCTAATCAAACAAATCAATGGCATCTATAACAGGGAGCGGCCCCAGAGCTGTGTCCTCCAACACTTCTGCACACCCCAAAGTCACAGCGCCTCTCCCCGCATCACTTAGCCTGCTGAACCGAAGGCTGCCATTAAATATGAACCTCGCATCACTCAGCCCCATGTCCCACCGTGCAACCACATGAAGGGCAAAAGAGCACAGCCTGATAATTTGCCTGTTCAGCGCTGAGGATGCCCCCCTCCAGCCCATCCCATACACTGAACCAAGACGAAGTCTACAAACAGAATAAGACTGAGTGTATTTCTTCAAAATTTCAAACACAGTGTCGGGGGAGAAGATCTGGTAACCTTCTCATGGAGTGAAAATTACAATTAGTTCCTTACTTTGCGTCACCTGGTAAGGAGATAAACAACTGTAGGGGATGAATTTGTTACGCAACAATGACAACAATACCAAAGAAAGCTTTTTTTTCTGCAGCCTAGCAAAATGAGCATCAGTGCCGTTGAATTAATGCATGCTCCTTAGTATATATATATATATATATAAATTGAGAAGCTATACTCAGCTCAGGATTCAGAGACCTTGAGTGCAGTGAAAATAGATTCTTGTCTTCCGCCTTAGGGCACGTAAACGTGTCTTTTCAGATTTGGTGATGGCTAGGTCTATGATCATTCAAGCGCTTCAAATTACATCAGGATGAAAAGGGGAAGGAGGTACACCGGGAATGAAAAAAGAAAGAAAATGATATTCATTCTCCCCCCTTATCTACCTTTTACATCAGCGCTTGCAGATAGAGCTCGGAATAAGTAATGAGCTCCGGTCCCATTCTGCCACATGTGTAGGCAGAGCCGAGAGTCGTGTCTGTCATCCAGGTGGCACGGCTTCTTATAGCAGAACTGCTTAACACTTTTAATATCAGCCGGGAGAGGCCCATTGTCCTCACCACAGAGTGTGAACAGCTTTGTGAAATGTGACATGTCTTGTGTTTAAGTGCTTCACTTGTTCAGTCCAAGAGGTTATTGTACCATAATGTGGCCCAAATCCAGTACAATCACACACACACAGATGTGCACATGCAGGCACGCAGGCTGACAGTCGCGAGATGAAATCCAAATTCTCCATCAATCATAAATAAGAGCACATGGGAACACTTAAATACGCTTGACAGGCCAAGGTTAGCAGGGGTCAGCAGGTCACTGAGATTGGTGGTGGCGGGAGGTTGTGACGAGGAGATGAAGGCGATAGTTTATACTACCACGGCCATATGAACACATCAGAGGAAATCTGAAAGGCCATTAAAACGCCTGCTTTTATGGGTGTAATAATCCCTCTCCTCTGCCTGGGAGTCCAGCCACAGCTTCAGTGGCCATCCCCAGATTAGGTGGGAGGTTTGACAGGAAGCAGGCTATCAGCTAATGCAGGGGAGCTCTGACAGCACCAACAGGACCACAAACATCACATTATGCCAGGGCTCTTCATGCAAGTCACACTAGGCATTCGCCACAGAGCTGAACGCATGCGGTGAGACGGGACAACAGTGCACTTTGCAGAGTTTTGTACCCAGACTGATGTTATGTTTAAAAGTGAAAAGAGCTGGTGATCACAAGATTTGGCTTTAATCTGAGGTTATTCAGACACTTCAAATGAATAGCTACACACCCTCCCATTTAATATCAGCTTGCCAGAAGTGTTTGAACAGGTTAAAATTGTTTTTTAATATATGTTTTAATTTTTTTAACGACAGTGAAAATTCACTGGCGTAACTTCTAATTAGCATCCGAATTAGACACTGGAACTCCTTTAAAGTGTCTTTTTTATTTATTATTATTTATTGGCCTCTGGGCCTGAGGCCCGGTCCTCTCTGGCACAGCTGGCTGCCGGCAGAACCCGTTGGCACGTCACTGCAACCCCCTCTGGCCTCTGCTCCATGGCTGCTGGGTGACCTCTTGTTTGGGGCTCTCCTCAGCTCTTCCCAGGAGGGTGGCACGGTTGCCCCCCTGGCGGTCCTCCTTGGGTCCTCGTATTCTGGGGCCTCTGGATGTCTGGGTCCTGGATCTCCTCCATACCTGCTTCATGCCCTGGGGGATGGGGCTATGGCTCCCCACACTCCCTAGCAGATTGTTACATGGAGAAACCTTTTGAATATAAGCGTGCTGATGCACACAGGTGTACACACGGGTGTTCACAGACACAAACTACACCTTTCTTGGCTGCTACCTCAAAGCACATTGTGCGCTGTTGATCTTGCGTACTGCTCAATAACATGTAATATTTAGTATCTACTGTTATCTACTGTTAGTTAGTTTATTGTGATGGTGTTGTATTTATTATGTTGCTCTTTTTTGTTTGTTTTCTCTTCTGTTTTTTCTTATCTCCATACGTGATCAAGGTATTTTGTTTGTTTTACTTTTTTTTTCTCCCCCCCTTTCTTACCATCTCTTCTCCCCTCTATTTTTCTTTCTCTCCCTCTTTCTTTCATTCTTTCTCCCTGTCCTATCCCCCAATCATGTCTGTCCCATCTGTAACAACCGAAATAAAATAAAATAAATACATAATTATAATAAAGGTCAATCAAATGGACCAATATGGCAAGGCCATGATGATCCAATTGGTAAAGTAAATCCGCTTGGCATCTTTCTTGGCCTTCAGACAACAATTCTGATGGCTAAAGATCCAAACGGGACAGGCAAAAAAAACCCAAAGTGTCTTTATTATCTTTACATGTTAAGCACAGTATCTGCTGAAGCATCATACTATTTTTTCCATGCATACATGCTAAACAAAGATTAAAAAAACACTTCCCAACAAAACCTGGCACCTTCATTCTTGCTGAATATATTAAAGCCTATTGTGTTGGATTTTACAGTAGACCTGTTATAAGATGAGCATGCAGTTCAGACAGGTTGGCACCTGTAGAGACTTTAACAAATGATTACAGCACTATTTTACCACAGATGGAGAGCACAGCAGCACAGCACTCAAGAAACAGTCAATCTGACAACGGCGCACAGCAGCACCCACTGATACAAATCGAACAGGGTAACCTAGTTGCCCTCGCTACACTGACTAGTAAAGCTTGAGTTCAGATCACTCCCTGTGACTCTGCAGCTCAGGGCAGCACTTCAAAGCCACACAGGAGCCCAAAGTTGAGCAGCAGTGGTAGAAATTGTTCAAAGGAATGTAGCCTGTTTACTATTGACTTTGCAACAATTACCCAAGCATATGTGTGTGTAATTAGATAAGGCAGCCAGTTGTTCTCTAATGCGGCAAATCAAATTAACTAAAGATGCCACATTGATTTCTTTGTGTTCCCTAAATTATTCATCTACACTTGCACTGAACCAGCCAGCCAGCCACCAAAGAGCTTTTCTAACTCCTCTGCACCACCACTCCCTTGCACTCCCCACATGCACATGCTGATTGTTTTGTGAGATCTGTCAGAGGACAGTTGCAATATTTGTGCCATCACCATTCAGCAAATTGACCTTCCAGAAAAGAGTATTTATGGTGTTATGGAAATAAAGAATTCCCATTAAATGCAGCAGTGTCGATATCCATCGTTCTTGTCGATCCGCATGCACGTGTGTAAGATAGAGGGCGAGAGCCTGTGCTTGCATGGGTGTGTGCACACTGGTGCACTCTTGCAAGAATTCATGCAGCACGCAGGCTGCAGACAGCTACGTCTGAGGCGGCTCCATTGACATCCTGTTCTCTGGCATGTTGCGCACGGGGAGATCAATATGACCTTACCTCCACCACCTACTCCTTTGAAACTTAATTACTGATATTCAGCTACAAAGTCATCATAGTCTGCCTGTCAATATTCATCGGGGATCATTACGGGCCTAATAAAAGAGGTTATTTACGGGCCGCTCTGCTGACACCAGCCGTGGTCGAAGGAATTCAGCTCCAGCCGTCTCAATTTGCTCTACCTCTCTCTGTCTTTTTTTCTCGTTCTCCTTCTCTATCTCTCTCTCTCACTTCTCCCAGAAGCACTGATCTGAAAAAGAAAAATTGACAGCAGAAAAACGAACAGGAGAGAGGATGGAGGTTGAATTCTTCTGGCATGGCTGTTAATTCTCTTAGCCATGTTTGGTGGTTTTTCAGCCAGTGCCAAAAAAAAAAGAAAGAACAGGAAAAAAACACAACACTGTAGCCACTATATCCCTAAATCCCCGGCTAAATTTGATCTTTGCTTGCCACTGACATTGCAGTCAGATCCACAAAGGGATATTTCATGATATTTAGAGAAATGTCACACTGCTCCTTGCCTCCTTGCAACAGCGCAAGTTTTAACATCACCGCTCCAACATCAATTATTGGGTTTTTGTGGCTACAGGACAATTCTTTCATCACTACCAGAAGCAATATTCTGGGTCGCAGAACTCCCACTTCTGACATTGTACGGCAACAAAGAGTTGTGTGATTGTCGGAGATTGCTATATGTTAATTTGTTCAATAAATCAATAGCTTCACTGTAATTGAAATGGCTGGTCATTTGAGGCAGCATGTTGAAAACCGAAAAGTGGAACAGTGAACTCTGTAGATCACAGGAGGTACTGCATCCAGAAGAAGCTCTTTCCTTTTTGTCTGTCATGCTCAGTCTCATAAACATCCATTCGCTCTCATGCATGCAAACATCCTGATATCCATGCATGCACACACATATATGGACACACAGGGCTAAGCAGTTCCTTTAGTATCTTGATTAATATGGTCCACTTTACATCAGCACATTGGATGCCAATGCACACTGTGCCGCCTTCCCTAAGCAATTAGCGAAACGGCTCCACCAGCGTTGGATTATCAACAACAAGATGCCTCCTGACGCGAGCCCTAAAGCCTGCTGACTTATTCATATGTGTTTACTTTAAAAGGCTTTGCCCTGTTTTTTTGTAGGTGGGCTGCCTTAGAAATGAAATAAGAACAACATCTGGAGAGAGAAGAGAAGGGGAGGGGGGTTATGCTCAAAGAGGTGTCCAAAAGCAGAAAGACATTTGGGAAAATATAATATGAAATCGTTCTCAACTCATTCATTAAGAAGAAAGCATATATATATACACAACAGCATGCACACACAAATCCAATATAACCAGGAGGATTTGGCTGGTCGATGCGAGTTTGTGCTTTTGCTGTTGTGGATTTCACTGAGCAAAATCAATGAATTCTCCACTAGCTGAACCCCTTTCACGCCAAAATATGAGCTGTGAATCACATGCTTGTATTTTTAGTTTTTTTGGACGTTTCCTATCCCACATGAATGTCAGAGCTTGAATAATTTAATGTACTCTTAGAATCACATTTAACAGTCTCTCTTTCTTGTCTCCAGGGATCCCAACAAACCAGTTCCCCAAGATACCAAGTTCATCCACACCAAGGCCAATCGCTTCGAAGAGGTGGCCTGGTCCAAATACAACCCCCAGGATCAGCTTTACCTGCATATTGGCCTGAAGCCACGTGTGCGCGATCACTACCGTGCCACCAAAGTGGCCTTCTGGAAACACCTAGTGCCCCATTTGTACAACCTCCACGATATGTTCCACTACACCTCCACCACCACTAAAGTGCCGCCCCCAGAGACCACGCAGAACACACTGTCCACCAAAAGGCCCAATGGGAAAAACTGGCCATTCAACACCAAGAGGCCACCTATGTCCCCGGCCTACAACAGTGAGGACAAAGACTCCTGGGGCGATGATGAGGAGACAAGGCCGCTGGTTGTAGAGAACCCTCGGGATTATTCTACAGAGCTCAGCGTCACTATCGCTGTTGGGGCCTCGCTGCTGTTCCTCAACGTCCTGGCCTTCGCAGCCCTCTACTACCGCAAGGACAAGCGGCGGCAGGACTCCGGCCACGGGCAGCCCAGCCCGCAGCGGCAGACCACATCCAACGACATTGGCCACCACGCGCCGGAGGAGGAGATCATGTCATTGCAGATGAACCAGACGCACCATGAGTGTGAGGCTGGGAACAGCAATGAGGGGGCACTGCGCCTGGCCTCGCTGCCCGACTACACGCTCACACTCCGGCGCTCTCCGGACGACATCCCCCTGATGACCCCCAACACCATCACCATGATCCCCAATTCCTTGGTAGGCATGCCCAACCTGCACCCCTACAACACTTTCACAACTGGCTTCAACTCCACCGGCCTGCCTCACTCTCACTCAACCACCCGCGTATAGCTTTAAGGAGGCATGGGGCAGCCGGCGAAAAACGGGGAGGGGAGGAAGAGGCGGCGGTGCAGGGGTGGAAGAGGAGGAGCGGTCCGGATGAACGAATGGAGGAGAGGATTGTGTTTTATAAATATCACAGGGAGGGGGAGGGCCATGAGGGGGGGTGGGAGAGGAGGGGAAGGGCATCAGTCAGATTAAAACGTGAGGAGATTTAACACGACTTTTACTACGAGGAGAGTTGCTGAGAGCTCTCCGTGGATGTCAAGTTGTGCAGAGCTGCCAAAATCAAACTGCTTCCCTTCTCCCGACCAGGAGAGAAGGGGGGTTGCGGGGTCTTTCTGCAGTGTTTTTTTCTAAAATAATCATTTTAAAAGCCTTTTTAAGCAGACTGAGGAGATATCAACAGTTTCTTTTTTTCTTGAATTCATAACAAAAAAAACAAAAAACAAAGAGTAGTGCTTTTTATTTCCCATCCCTTTTCCTCCTGCGGGAGACACGTCTAGAACAATGGCCTCTACGTCGATATTCACGAAATGTTTTTAATTGCTTCTTTGTTTTGTTTTACGTTTCAATGCCTTACAAAAAGCTTGTTGTTGTTGGGTTTTTTTGTCATTATTTCTATTCCCCGAGACTATTCCATGTGGGGTGTGTTGCAAACAGTTGAGACTCAAAGATGAGAGACTGAATCCAGGATGGGAATCTAGAGGAAATGCAGATGTAGAGATTTTTAAAATCCATTTTGGGCAACTCATTCTTTTTTTTTTTTCTGTTGCGTATCAACACAACAGCCACCCAAATGGTGTTTTTTCCTTTTCTTTTTTTTTCAAGCTCATATAGAAATGATTTGTCTGGGACAGCTCTTGCCGAGAGATGAGAAGGCAGAGATAAACACTATGTTACTGTGATTGTTTCGTTAAGAGAAAAGTGCATCTTTTACAGCCAATTTATCTGTTCAAGCTATCCGATATTATCTCCACGAGGTGTGCACGTGCACATGCTGCTTAGAGCACCTGTGTGTTTGTGTGCATGTGAACATGATTTCTCATTCCTTTGCGTGCAAGCGCGGTCAGGAGCGTGAGATAAAGGAAGAGACACATTGTCGGAACTTGCAAGCTCAAGAGTTGCGAGAGAGCGAGAACGGGTGTGTGCGCGTGTGAGAACGAAAGTGTGCGAGCAAGTGAGTGTGTGTGTGTGGGTCCGTGCACCTTTTTTTTTTTTTTGTAGGTTATATTGTGTGGTTATGGGTGGGGGGACGGGGTGTTGGGGGCTGAGTACCTTCCCATGTTGTTGATTTCGGTTCATCCACCAGTAGTGTTTCTGCTGCGTCTCTGGGTGTCTGTCTTTGCAAAATAGCACTTTTGTTATTTTTAAAGTTATATATGTCTAATTTTTTGCTTAAAGATTACAAAATAAATCTATTATTTTATGTGTAAGAGAAAAAAAATAGCTAAAGATTCAACTGAACTAACTGACATGATTCCATTGACTTTGTAAGAGTTCCTCTTCGAAAGCAGACAGTGGCCTGTTTGCACTGAATAAACCTACATCAGTGCACACTTGTATTTCTTTGAATATATATATATAAATATGGGCATACATACATGTATGTATAGGGCTTCTATGAAGATATATTTCCCACTTAAAAAAAACAACAACAAATATTTAAAACTCTCTTTAGACTGAAAAGCACCAACGCAATTAGTTTCTTTGTATTGTTGTGATTTGAAACATACCAAGCCAAGACCTCTCCAGGTGTCTTTGTAGGAGCTCTATATGTATATTTATGTATAAAATATTTAATATTTATTTATGTATACCAGATGCATACATGCTGATTGTGCCATGTGCCAAATTAAAACTTTAAAAAATGAACAATATAAAGTTTCACTAAACTTTTTTTCCCTCTCTTGATCAAAGTTCTTTTCCTTCCTATTATGACTTTTTATTATTTCCATTTTGAATGAGTTAAAAAAGAAATAGTCTTGCAGCAAGTGCAAGGCTCCCCCCCCAGGACTTCCTCTCTACCTCCCCTCTTCCTCTTTCCCCTCCTCCCCCTCCTCCTGCCTCTCTCCTTTTCTCTCACTGAAACCTTTGAGAAAAACAGGCTAACAGCTTGGGGCCTATCTGCGTGCATAACCCCAGATTTTACTGTAATTCATGCAAAGTAGTGCTGCAGCAATGGGAGATTGTGAAAAGATTGCCTTGATGTACTCACAGTGCATCCTATTATGTGTTATTCTCGAGGTGAAAACTGGAGTTATTGATTCTGTGAGTAAAACTGACAATTTTCATTAAGTATCTTGGCGTCACACAGATTGTCTCCCGAGTTACAGCGAAATGCAGTAATGCGACCCAACTAGTGATCCAAGATCAGCGCTGCAATTTTCAGAGACTTCATGCACACAGACTTCACCATTTTTATGAAGTATTCCATTACAGCTTCCTCTGGTATTTAATGATTGGAGGTGTAGCAGAGCGAGAAGCACAGTCTGGTCAGCTTATCACCGATCCTGCCAGTAGCAGAAAGAGAGAAATGGGTTATTTGAGGGAAATTGCTCTGAGACTGATCTATACGAGTCATCTTGTTTTTTGCTCATCTTGCCTTATTTGGGAATCACCTACTAATCAGCCGCTCGCTTCAACTGAACCACATCTTCTAAGAAAGGAACAAGCAGCTGGTTTCTACCTGGAGCGCTCTTGTGCACACAGAAAACACTTTATAAGGCGTCCATAACTATAAACTGGACAATGCAGTCACCAAACATTGTGGCATTGATTTATAGGCTGCATATCAAAAGATGGAAGTGGCTTCCAGACCTAAAAAGTAACAATAATGCAGATCTATCTTAAACCTGTATTCTTTCTACTGACCAGGATTCCTCTGCTGGCAAAAAAGAAGTGAAATTATAGAAATAGAAATATATAAGAAAAATGACTCTTCTGCTTACTTGAACTTTGACCTAATTAAACAGTCCCTAGGTTCAAGTAATGCTGAATATTAGATGAGGTTGATCTTGTAACTGCCATTATTTAAGAATCAATTAGAAAGCAAGGCACGGTTTAGGTTTTGCCTACTTTGAGATTTCCATGGTGCTACATTATGAGCATGCTGCATTTCTCAATAATATTCATCAGTCCTTTGGAGCACCCAGTTTCAAGAAACTGCCAAAGTCCTCCTCTTAATATAACTTTACTAACAAACTGGTGTGTCCTTTTCAATATACAGTCTTTGCATTGATTACACTTTGTTGAGCGAAGCTGTTTTTCAAATATTTCTGATTGTGAAATATGTGCACTCCTTTATTACTGAAGTCCATAAAGGGTTGATTCATTCAGTCATTTAAAAACATCTTCAAACTTTTATGAGAACTTATATTTCTGCTGCGCCCTCAATATAATATATAGTATACTTCAATATAATAAAAGTAAGTTAAATTTTGTTTGTGGGGCTCTAGGCAGGAAAATAAGTGTGTTTTGAATATAATAAAAACAAAAATGTGAGATCTAGTTACTGAAACACTGCTTACGAAATCCACAAAAGACACTCTTTGGACTGGAATTTTTAGGGAGCATTTCTTTGACAGAATGTTCACAGTGAGCTCTGTTGAGTATTCCAGCATCACATTTTGTCAGTTTTCCATTGCTGTAGTCATTATCTTTAGATTGCATCAGCTCATGTGTGACCCACACTTACAACTTGGCTAACTATATCACTATATTGGTTATAAATACTATAGATTCTTAGAGGGCAGTAGCTGAACCACTGATTGGGCATAACAATATGATCATAACAATATATCACTGACACTGAATAACAGTGATTTTCTCTTCATCACAGAACCTGTTTATTTGTGGGACATACTAGGGAGAAAGTGAACATTGCGTCCTCAAAGTTGATGTGTTAGAAGCAGGAAAAATGGGACAAATTATGAAGGCTAGGCAACTGGGTCAGAGCATCTCTAAAACTGCAGTTCTTGTTAGGTGTTCCCAGACTTCAGTGGACAGTGTCGGTCAAAAGTGGTCCAAGAAAGGAACAGTGGCGAACCAGCGACTGGGTCATGATTGGCCAAGGCTCACTGATTACTGCACTTATCTGGGGAACACCTGGCACAAGGACTTATTATGGGAAAAAGGCAAGCCAGTAGAGGCGGTGTGATGCCCTGGACAATGTTCTGCTGGGAAACCTTGGGTCCTGCCATCTATCCAGGTGGTACGTTGACACGTACCACCTGCCTGAGCATTGTTGCAGACCATGTACACCCTTTCATGGAAATAGTATTCCCTGATGCCTGTGGCAGGATAATACTCCCTGCCACAAAGCAAAAATGGTGTAGAAATTGTTTTAGTAAAGCAATGTGTTTGAGGTGTTGACTTGGCTTCCAAATTCTCCAATCAAGTATCTGTGGGATGTGCTGCACAAACAAATCTGATCCATATGGAGGCCCCACCTCACTGCTTGCAGGACTTAAGGATCTGTTGCTAACATGTTGGTGCCAGATACCCCAGCACACCTTTAGGCGTCTAGTGGAGTCCATGCCTTGATGGCTCACGGCATTTTGGGAATCAAAAAGGGGGACCTACACAATATTAGGCAGATGGTCATAATCTTATTTCTGATCAGTGTATTTTTTTCTGTTGTATCACATCAATTTTGTCCTGGTTAAACATTCAAAGAGTCTGTGAGCACACAGTGGGGAATAAAAAATCATACAAATAAAAACAAAGGAAACAAAAAAGCCTAATTGTTATGCTAAACATCGGCATCTATTGGAAGATCGTCCCCAGTCATCACATAACTGTGCAGCTCTCCTCCGTGTTTCAGCATATTTCAAGTTTCACAATAATAAGCTATTTTGGATCACTTCCGCTGCACTGATCGCTAAATTTGAAAAGAGGATAACTACTGGACAGGTGGCCAGAAATATCCCTGTAAAGCTCTGCCTCTGCTGAATGTATGAATAAGCAGCTGTTTGCTAACAAGTTTACAGCAAGCTCATGAAAATTTTACAGGAAACGTACTTTGAGCCTGGAAGTTATTTTGCCATTTGGGTGAACAGCACCGTTATGAATCAAAGCGGATTCTTCTCTTCTCTGATTCATGTGCAGTGGTGTGAGGTCGGTGTCCACTGGCCCCAACACACACACACACACATAGAGTGACACAGAATTAA